AATAATCAAAAAAATTGCAAACAAGAACCCAAAAAAATGGAAAAGGACTAAGAAACTCTTTTTTTTTATTGTAATTTTTGAGATTCTATTTTATATTTTTTAGTTAATTAATAATTAAATTTAATTTTTATTAATAATACGAGTTACAATACACCATTTTCAAAAATTGAGAGAGAATACTGTATAAAAAATTTTCAAACGCTCTTGAATTTATAATTTAAAAGCCAAATTTCTATTTAACTCAAAGAAAATTGAAAATTTACTAATAATTAATAAAAATATATAATATTACAGTAACAGAATAAACCTAAAATTATTATAAAAAAGGAATAAACCTAAAATTTAGTGTTCCAAAAATTTAATCTTGTCAAAGTCTCGTGTTCCCATGCTAGTCTTCCTAATCTTTTATGTCCCCACAAATATATCTGGAAATCCAGAGGCGTGGACTGACCTGGACAAAAATTAAAGTTTATGTCCACACAAAAATCTGGAAATTTTGTGATCTTTGTCTTCTTAATTGTGTGTGGACTGTAGATATGACAGGTACATGTGAGGGACCACCTTTTCAAAATCAAAAGCCAAGGGTCGAACCTTGCTTTTTACGTTCATGTTAAAAGTTATTTAAATGAAATATTTTAGAAGAAAGTATATTTGAAGGTAGAGTTGAGAATAAAAATGACTTAAAAGTCCTGTTTAAATTAAAATTTAAGTTTTAAAAATTAAATTTTTTAAAATAATTAGGTTTGAGAGCTTAATCTTGATAAGTCCTGTAAAAAAAACTCGGTCTCAAACGACCATTCAAGTCTTATTATATTATTATTATTATTTTTAAATAGAACACGCATTTGAAACCAATAAGAACTTTCTCCCTTGATCATACATATGTTATATTATTATTAATTTTCATTTATTTTAAAATTAATTTAATATAATTTAATAAATATCAATGTACAATATAAAATTTATATTATTTTTTATTTAGTGTTCCAAAAATTTAATCTTGTCAAAGTCTCGTGTTCCCATGCTAGTCTTTCTAATCTTTTATGTCCCCACAAATATATCTGGAAATCCAGAGGCGTGGACTGACCTGGACAAAAATTAAAGTTTATGTCCACACAAAAATCTGGAAATTTTGTGATCTTTGTCTTCTTAATTGTGTGTGGACTGTAGATATGACAGGTACATGTGAGGGACCACCTTTTCAAAATCAGAAGCCAAGGGTCGAACCTTGCTTTTTACGTTCATGTTAAAAGTTATTTAAATGAAATATTTTAGAAGAAAGTATATTTGAAGGTAGAGTTGAGAATAAAAATGACTTAAAAGTACTGTTTAAATTAAAATTTAAGCTTTAAAAATTAAATTTTTTAAAATAATTAAGTTTGAGAGCTTAATCTTGATAAGTCCTGTAAAAAAAACTCGGTCTCAAATGACCATTCAAGTCTTGTTATATTATTATTATTATTTTTAAATAGAACACGCATTTGAAACCAATAAGAACTTCTCCCTTGATCATACATATGTTATATTATTATTAATTTTCATTTATTTTAAAATTAATTTAATATAATTTAATAAATATCAATGTACAATATAAAATTTATATTATTTTTTATTTTTCTATAATTATTATATTTATGTATTTATAAACATGAACAATTTTTTAATTAAGATTTAAATTTTCTTACTAAACTTTTAAATGTTTGTTGTTTAATTTTTAAAAGACTACGAGAATTTTTATTTTTTAAAAAATTTAATTAATTTATAGTGTTTTATTTTATTTTATTTTTTAAATTTTTTTAAAATAGGGTTTATGAATTCAATCTTATGCCTTTTAAATAAGGATCGAGCCGTAAAAAAGAGGTAAAAAAATGAGAAATTAAACTTAAAAGCTCAAGCTCTTATGAGTCGAGGATAGAGTCCCCCTGTTTTTCCTGCTATATTTGAAGGTATACATAAACAATGGTTGGTGAAAAAAAAAAAAAAAAGCATATCTAAACAGTAAACAATCACGGAGCGCAACTCTATATAGCTCTTCAAATGTACTGCTTCTTCTTTCTTCTTCTCTGTGATTCTTTTGTTTTCAGTCCTTCCTCTACCCCTGAGAAATGGCTCGCATGTGTGATTTTTTTTTCTCTTGGCCAACACTCACGTGTGTGTGATTCTACGTATAAAATATTGGTTCCAACTTCTTGTCATAACTCTTATGATCAAATATAATTACTAATTCCCCCAAAAATAGAATCAATTAATGAAGTAATAAAAAGAGGGAAAAAATACCAGTCATCCCTATAAATGTCATTTAGATTGAACTGGTTTATTATAATTTTATAATGTTAATTTATTATTTTTTCTGTGGAATTGTTGGAGGAAAAATTCCTTAGAGAACAACATGTATTTAGTATTAATGTATATTGAACTATTGATATATATATAGTAGTATATATATTTTCAATATATCAAACTTTATAATTTGTTTATTCTTATTATCAACAAATATAATTTTATGTTATTTAAAATTTTTACACATAGATTTTTCAAACATTTTTTAATATTAGAAATTTGCACAACAAAAAGCACAAACTGTAAAAATAAATGCCCATTTTAGTAATTATACATTCAAAATCTCATTTAACTACATATAATTCAAAAAAAATTTAATTTACTAAACTAACTTTTGAAAAAAAATTATCCAAATACAAATTTTATTACAACAAGTAATTTTTATTAAATTAATTTTTGTTAAATGAACTTTTGATAATTTGACTTTTGTCAAATGAATTTTTGACATGCTGTGATGATATAACTTTTGATAACAAAAATATTAAAATTAAGTCACATTGTTTAAGATTAAAATAGTTATTTTTAGTTAGAGGTTTTATAAAAAGAGATTTTTTTTTTTTAATTTTTCATAGGTATCCTCCCATGAAAAACAATTTCGTTTGAGATACAGTTAGGCACTAAATGTGGATACCTCCTCCAATGGAATTCAACTTGATTTGCCATGTTATAAGGACTAGCTTCTTCTATTAAACCTAATCTCCATTGGTTATAAAAGGTGATTTATTTTGTAAAGATTTAATAAAAAGAATATATAATTTTATTTGTTTACAATAATAAAAAATTAATTATTGTTAATTATTTTAAATTTTATGATATCTTTCTTGCTTCCTGTTTTATAAAATAATTTATTATTTAATTATTTTAAAATTTTATCATATTTTCATACATCTTGTATTTTTAAAGCATTCTCTTTCATCTATTGCATCATATTATTTTCAGAAGCTATTTAAAACAACTTTTTGAAATAATTAGATATCTATTTTTTTCATATTCTGATTATTTTTAAGTTTAAATAAACATCATAAAACCTCACAAATTATTTTTTTTCAAAAAAGATGTGATTTTTTCATAAGAAAGCTGAAACAAATAGGCTCTTAATATTCTCACTCATGCAGTAAAGATGGAATAATTCTTAGATAATATTGCTTAATACAAGTGATACATTATTATTTGGTGGCTCAACAATAAAACATACATATGTTCATTCCAGTTCATGAATCACTTCCAACTCTAAATTCATCTGCCTTCTAGGAAAAACTTTTGATTTAATAGAAGATGATTCCAAAGGATTCAAGGGCAATGTTAATTTCTCACCTTCTCCTTCCAACATTTGCAGCACTGTTTTAATACTTGGACGGTCCATTGGGTTCCACTGAATGCACCAAAGTCCCACAATTGCCAATTTTTTTGCAATTCTAATATCTTCATCACCATCCCCTATTTGAATGGGAACATTTCCTTCCACTAAATCATGAATCCATTCTGGATATAGAACTTGAAAACTTTCTTGAACCATCTTTATATTCTTCCTTCCACTAACTATCTCTATTAGCAACATTCCATAACTATAAATATCTGCTTATGTGACACACTTCCGAAATTTCTAGAGCAAATTTCGGGCGCAATATAACCTAAAGTTCCTCTTGCTTCAGTAATTGACATTGCACTTCTAGTTTTAGAGCATAATTTAGCCAAACCAAAATCAGATATTTTTGGAACAAAGTTGTCATCTAAAAGAACGTTATAGGGATTGATATCAAAGTGAACAATCCTAGGATCACAACCCTCGTGAAGATACTCAATCCCTTTGCTATGCCAATAGCAATTTGCTGCAATTTTCCCATCCCAGGAAGACAATGTCATTTGGAGCAGATATGTACTTTTGCAAGGACCCATTTTGAAAGAAATGATAAACAAGAGCGTGGTGAAATCCATCAGCACAAAAGCCAAGTAAACGAACTATGTTAAAATGGTGGATTTTACCCATAGCTCTGACTTCATTTATGAACTCTTTACCATCCCCCTCTGAGCTATTCAGCAGCATCTTCACAGCAACCAAAACCTCATCTGACAGCTTTCCTTTAAATACTGATCCATGAGCACCTTCACCTAACTTATCTTTAAAACCACTCGTCAATCGATGAAGATCAGCATAAGAGAACCTAGTAGGTTTCAGTGATCGATAATCTTCCAGAAACTTTTCAAGTCTCACTCGATCCTCTCTTTTCAATCTGAAATGTCTGTGTAATAGAAAGAGTCCAATGAGCACTAGAAGCAGCAAAATTGAACCTGATGTTACTCCTGCACAATATTGAATATTCCATAATTCAAAAAACTATAGTTCATCGGGGGAAGAAAATTAAGGAGAAAATCAGAACGATGGAGTTTCACCTGCACCAACTATAAGAGTTGATCTACGTTTCTTGTGATCATAATCAAGACACTCAATATCATCTTCAGTTCCATTGTTCTTCAGTTTACACATCTGTCCCTTCATTTCACATATGCTACAATTTGGTTTCAACCAACTGAGGTTCAAAGAATTTTTCAGCATGTTACGCAATTGATTTGATGAAATCTCTCTCATTTTGGTGCAGGAGAGTAGATTCCATCAAGGAAAGAGGCATTTGATGGATAAACAAAAATGGGGCAAGAGAACGTTAACATGTCTTGATTGATATCATCTTCATAATATGATATCTGTCTGGATAGTCAAATGAAGAACAGTTGAGGAAAGTAATGTTTTGAAATTCATCTGATGGCTCAAATTTGAAGGGTGATGGTTTGGAGTTGTAGAGTTTAGGAAACAGGCTCTGAGGGCAACTTCGGGGATCGTAGAGTTCAATTTTCTGCGATCGGTAATAAATGTTCCTGATGGAGAGGCTTACCGGACCTGAAGTTGTGGGCAGGTCGATAAGGAGCTGGCGATAATGAGAACAAGTGATATCAAAGCCAGGATAGCCACACTCAACCGGATGCCTATCTTTGAGTCGGAAGGGAAATCGAACCACAGGACCATGACGTCCGCACCTTAATTCCTTGCACTGCCTTTGGCACGATCCTTTGGGGCTAAGCAGAATGAATACAAGGATCATCAACCTCCCAGTTATGCAGAATCCTATCATTGTAAGTTTGTGTGCCTTTCAAGAACCTCAACTTCACATGGGAGATCATTCAGCTATATTTTTAGGAGTGAACCGAAACATTTGAACTACGAGCAGAGTCAGTTTTTGTTTAGGTTTGACTAAAATATTTTCATTTATTTTTTTTTTGGAATAAATATGCAGATCAATTATTGTCAGAATAGGTAAAGAAAAGGAAAAGAATAAATTAAAATGGAGGTCAGACAGAAGCACAAATTAGACACGGAATCGCTCGAATTCTTTGTGACAGATACAAACTCAACAAAAACATTCAAGTGCAAAGCTTTTTATGCAGTAAAGGTATATTTTGGTCAACCTTGGTGGGTTGCATTTCAATTTTTTTTCAATATTAAAAAAAGTACAATGATTGCTTTCTTTGCCTTTCGTTCCCCTACACCCTTTAATTTTTCTAATATGTAGACCAAATCTGCTCCTAGCGTATAAAGAAAAGTAAAGAAAAGAAAATATATATATATATATATATGTTTTAAATTTTATTCATAATCTAGCCCTTTCTTACTAAAAAGAAAACTTTTAATTTCACTTGGACGCCTCACACCTTTCTGATATATGTACACACACACATACAGACGTGTTTCTGCTGTTAATTATATTGCTTTGCTTTGAGATTCAGTTATATTTTTACAAGTGAACCGGAATATTTTAACCAAGACAAACGACAGACAAAAGAGAAGAAAACAAAAGAAAAGATCCAGATCCAATATGAAAACGCTAAGAGTCTAGCTTGCCATGTGCTAAGTCTAAGGTATTATTTGGTGGTCAAAATATGCGTGCCATCTTTTCTTCTTCTTGTTTTTTTTTTTTTAGTAAAAGTGAAAAGCATGACAAAATCTATCACTGTAAAGAAAACAAATGGGCTAGGAATTCTAACATGTTATTTTTTAATACTTTTTATAATGTTTTTAACTTTTTAATTTTATTTTTCAATTTTTTAAATAATTGCCTTTTACATAAAACAAGAGATATTTTGATATATTGATGTTTCAAAATGGTAAAGATTTATATTTTTTATGAATTTTAAAGAAAAATATCATAAATACACCCTTTTATTTTTAAAAATAATAAAAAATATAAACCTTCACCATTTTAGGACATCAAGACATCAAAATATCTCTTATTTTATGTAGAAGCTAATAATTCAAAGAAAAATAAAAAAAATTGGAAAGTTGAAGCATTATAGGAGGCATTAGAGAAGGACACATTAGAGGCTCCTAGCACAAAATAAGAATTGGAATTATCAAGAAAAAAAAAAAGAAAAGAAAACTAAGAGCTAGGACATCAAGATTGGTGCCAAAAAAAAATCTAATTAAAGTTTGTTCCATAAAATGAGTATTGATAATTTAATTATATTTTTTTTATTATTGATAAGTATCCTCGCATTGGAGGTAATTAGAAATTAAATGTGGGCATCTTTTTTAGTGAAGATTTAAACTTAATTCGTTATGTTGTGAGGGACTAATCTATTTCGCTAAACTCAACCTTCTTGGTAGTTTAATATAATCCAATTATTTTTTGACATGGTTACATACATGTGTCTCCCTTCTTAACAAAAAAGGCTAGCTAGATTAGGAGGGGGTGATTTTTTTTTAATAGAAAGTAACCATCCATGCATGCATTATTAGTTGGGCCCCAAGAGAAGTGCGTGTATTTTTAAGGCCTGATAAATCTTAAAAGCACGTTCAAACCACATCTTGTGCTTTTGCTAAATTAAAAAAAAAAAAAGTTGAATCTTTCAAATATGTTTTTGTTAAGTTTAAACTAAAAATCAAGCACACATTTCGAATTATGAAGTGAAAATAGTCAAGCAAACACATGTCCAAGTTGGTCCCGCGGAAGCGCGTTTACTCTTAGAATTGTAATTGAGGTCCCAGCTTGATCCTACATTATAAGGTCTCTGACGGCTCGCACATATTGATCTGCAAATCAAGCAATTATATGTTTGCACTGTACTGCTGCAGTGGACATGAACATGGAACCAAGTTTGATTTCGAGACGAAGAAATTGGAGCGAAGTGGTAGCTTCGATCTTTGTTATTATTACTGTTCTTGAGTTCTTCCCCCAAATTGACGCAGTTTGTTCTCCATCGTGCGGCAAAATCACCAACATATCGTATCCTTTTCGTCTTAAAGGTGACCCCAAACATTGCGGCGACAAGAATTTTGAGTTACAGTGTATCTCCGGCAACGGCAGAGACGATGTCCTCGGGTTACGCATTCTCTCCGGCGAATTCTACGTGCTGTCGATCAACTACACAGTCTCCAGCATCCGACTGGTTGATCCAAACTTCTATGATGATCATCGCTCCAACAATTGCTCCTCCCTCCCTCGCTACTTCCTTTACGGCGGGAATTTCAGTGGATCCGACTTCAGTCTCCGTCTCCGAGATTTTAATTATGAAGTAATGTATATGAAGTGTGACAGAGCATTGAGGGACAATCCTTATTATGTCGACACCGATCCGTGCTTCTTGGGTTCGCATATTTACGCAGTTCCGGGAAACATATCGTTGGCGGACTTGAAGATCGGCTGCCACGTCATCGCCGTTACGCCGTCGTCGATTCCTGATGATGAGTTCCTTAAGTTGCGATACGTTGACATCCACCGGAACTTGCAGGTCTTTGGATTTGAGATAAGCTGGGATTCGGTTATTAATAGGTGTCCCCATACTCCATTGAACGCCGACCAATGCGGTGAGAAAACAAAAGGGCCAATCTAATTTCATTGCTGTAAATAAATTTCTTAGTTGCATAACTTGTTATGATCTAATTAATTTCATTTCTTTCAGAAATGGCGATATATTGTCTCGGACAAGCACTAGGTATGTAACACAGTTAAATTTTTCTTTCTTCAAATAATTTTAATTTTTTTAAAAATTGAAATTATGTCTTTCATTCTTATTTTGATGTAATTTAACGAAAATTTGAATTCCTTTGCAGCGACTTTGTGTAGCATATTGAACGGTAAGCCTTGATCTATTCAAGCCATTTTCTTTGTTCAAGGTACGTTGAACTAATTTTTTTTTTTTTATAACAAAGGAAAATAAATTACAAAGTAGTAATAGCGTCCTGCTGCATCACAATAATTAAGTCATAAGAAGAAAAATTCAAATGATGAAACCTAGCTATGCACGATAGGTCCTTTTTCGCAAGGACATCCACTACTTCATTAGCATCTCTAGAAATCCTTTAAATACGTACTTCTTAGGCACGATTCAGTAGGGCTTGTATCTCTAAGACAACACCAGAATCTGGTTGAGTGAGAGAGATTATTTCATTTATTGCTTCATGGCTTCTAGGGAATCTAATTCAAGAATAATTTGTCTATACTCGAGATCCCAAGTAACTTTAAGCCCCCACAAACAAGCCCACAACTCAACATGTAATGGGTCTCCATCACTCATCTTAAACATGAATCCACCTTGGAATTCTCCCTTATGATTGCGAATCAAACCATTACATCCGGAAATATTCTTTGTTACAACATATGCATCATCCACATTCAATTTATTCGATCCATTAGTAGGTGGGTACTAAGTTCCACTAAGGATAGGGCTAGTATGCCTCTGCCACATGGTTCCTACGAGCTTGCTTCGATACTCTTTGAAATTGTTCATAATTGCTAGACTCTGAGCATTGATAGTAGCATTCAGAGTGGTTTTGTCTTGAAAAATATTCTCATTCAATCTCCTCCAAAGGAGCCAACACACAATAGAAAAGAAAGAGCTCCAGGGAGTGCCTCTCTTCTTTCTTTGGGATTGCACATTCCATTTAGTCTACTCATGCAGATCGACACCAAAGAACTTCACTCTGCCCTCATGTGCAATATATTCCATCCAAAGTCTTTTTGTGATTGGGCACTCTCATAAGATGTGGATGAGATCCTCCACAACATCTTGACAGATCTCACACTGGACATCCACAAGCATTCCACGCTGCATTCGACTTGCATTAGCAAGTAACTTGTTATGATATGATAACAAAAAAAAAGACTTATAGTGTTTCGAGACTTGAAGCTTCTAGATTCGCTTCCAAGTGCTATCATAATCAGTTGTATGTTGAGCCACATTTTCATAGGTAGACTTGATCGAGAATTGCCCACTCTTACTCTACCTTCCAACTAGCGTCCTGTCAATCTTCACTGATAACAGTCCCAATTCAGGCAAAATTTGAAGTGGCTTTAATTCCAGACCATATATAAGAACTTGGTCTTTTCTTATTAATAGTCAGAAGGATATCAGAACTACATTTATATTTACTTCTTATAATTTGAACCCAAAGGTCATCACAATGTTTGATAATAGCCCAACCAAGCTTCATTTGAAAGGCTTGATTTTCTTGTTGCGCAAACCTAATTCCAAGTCCACCATGAGTCTTAGGTCTACACACTTTATCCCAAACAACCAGATGCACTTTCCTCTTTTCACTAGTAATACCCTAAAGGAAGTTCCAATTTGCCCTTTCCAGCTCATCACATGTTACAACCTGGATGCTAGCTGTTTGCATGGTGTGAATAGGAATACTAGAAGTAACAGAATTGATCAATGTGGTTCTCCCAGCAAGAGCAAGTGAACTAGCCTTCCAATTGGTCAACGTTTTTCACCTTATTAACAACTTCTTGGTACGTATTCTTGTCCACTCACTTGTGAAGGATCGATACTCCCAAGTACTCGCCAAGGTCTAAGGTGCGAGAGAAACCAAGAGCATTACTCAGCTCCAAGCTTCTATGGTAAGATACATTGAAGGAGAAGAATACCTTGGTCTTTGCCGCATTAACCTTAAGTCCTGAACTTTCACAAAATTGATTTAAGCAATCATTAATCACATCAGCCTTTTCAAGAGAAGCTTATGCAAAAAGAACAATATCATTAGCAAAAAAACAAATGAGAGATAGAAGGGCTATCCTTATATACTTTGACTGGCTTCCATTCACAATCATCCATTTTTTTCTGAATCAAATGGGCAAGTTTCTTCATACAAATCACAAATCATAATGACCTTCTATTAATTATATCAATAATTAGAAATGTTTTAATTGCAAATAAAGCCATAGTCATTTTTTGACATTTCAATATTTTGAGATCTTCAATTGTCTTTACTGTCTTCACAATGTCTCTAATTGTCATTTCCCCTTTTGTTATTTGTTCTTCAATTTCGTCACTGCCCTACTCTATTTATGTTGCCAATTTTAAATTGTCAAGTATTACAAACATTCGATTACACATACATGTTTTGATTGTTTTGGTGAGATAATTGTGCAGGAATCTATTTTGTAATAACACTTCGTTCCCCAGCAATATTTCGTTCAAGAACATCGCGTCTCAATCCTCCATTAAAGGACGCACCAGAATACTACATAGATGAGACAATGTTATATACATGGTATGTGGTAGTATTCTTGCTGGCAGTTAGAGCTCTCTTTGGAGTAACACTTTTAACTGCGCTGTTAATTTTCAAGAGGAGAAAGAGACACTTATCGATGTATGAAGATGTTGAACATTTTCTGCAACATAGTGATCTCATGCCCATCAGATACTCTTACAAGGAAATTAAGAATATGACCAAAGGCTTTAAAGACAAGTTGGGAGAAGGAGGTTTCGGTACTGTATACAAAGGCAAGCTGCGTAGTGGTCCTCTTGTAGCTGTTAAGTTGTTGGGTAAATTCAAAGCCAATGGCCAAGAATTTATTAGCGAAGTAGCTACCATCGGGAGGATACATCATGTTAATGTTGTTCGTCTTATTGGATTTTGTGTAGAGGGTTCAAAACGTGCTCTTGTCTATGAGTTTATGGTTAATGGTTCTCTTGATAAGCTTATTTTCCCTAAAGAAGGAAGTGCTTTTCTAAGTTATGAAAAAATACATCAGATATCTCTTGAAGTGGCTCGTGGGATTTCCTATCTTCATCATGGTTGTGATATGCAAATCTTACATTTTGATATTAAGCCACATAACATTCTCCTTGATGACAACTACATCCCAAAGGTTTCAGATTTCGGACTTGCAAAACTATATCCTAGAGATGATAGCAGTGTTGCTTTGACCGCTGTTAAAGGAACGTTAGGATATATGGCTCCTGAATTGTTTTACAAAAATATTGGAGGAGTGTCCTACAAAGCTGATGTTTATAGCTTTGGAATGCTTTTGATGGAAATGGCAAGTAGAAGAAGGAACACAAAATCACGTACTACCAAGCATTCAAGTGAAAATTACTTTCCATTATGGCTATATGATCATTTTACTCAAGAGAAAGACATAGGAATAATGGAAGACTTGACAAGAGAAGATAAGGACATAATAACAAAGATGTTCATTGTTGCATGGTGGTGTATTCAATTTAAACCAGTTGATCGTCCTTCAATGACCAAAGTTGTGGAGATGCTAGAAGCAAATGTTGAAAGCCTTGAAATACCTCCGAAACCAGTGTGGTATGCTCAGGAAAATATTGTAGCCAGCCATGGATCTAATTCTGATCAAGCATCATGTAGTGATTGCATAAGTTCTAGTTATGCAAGCGATGATTTTTAGAAAAATAATGATAGTAATAGTGGGAAATAATACAGAAACTGATGGAAGGGGCACAAAACTTTTATTTGCTTTAATAATTGTGGGTTGTATATCCTTTGTCTATTTTATAGCACTGCTTGATATGTTGTTACCTTGCTTTGTATTTTGCTTCACTAGTTTTATGGTATGAATATATGACTTTTTACTTTCATTTCGAGAAGAGTTGTAACAACATTTTGGAAAGATAATTAAAATCCATTCTCGTACTTCGAACTGTTTATAAGGTTAGTGGTATGAACTACAAAATAATACAGATAAGTGATAGAAAGGTAACTGATATATTAATGAGCCAACGTTCAGATATCCTGAATTACACAAATCGAGCAAGTTCAGAAATGATAGAAAGGAAATAACAGAAGGAAAAGCACAGAACAAGGAAATGCAGAAAGATGATAGCAGCAATAGAATCATTCATAGAGAAGATTACTCAATCATTGAACACGTTCCCATGTTGCAAATAAGGGTATTGGGTCAGAAATTCCTCAGCATCTTCCCATGTTGATGGAATTCGAGTATCCCGTTGAACCAGTATCTGTTTCTTCCATTGTGCTGCTCGTTGGATTTCAAATAAGCGCTGTCGATCCAAATTACTGGCTCTATTTTAGGATATTCAAGCACAAAGCATCATAAATATAACTCCAACCATTTGTTCAGAGCTTTAGATTGCCAGTCCGATTCCGAATGCCACTACAAAAGAAAGAAGAAGAAGAAGAAGAAGAAGAAGAACAGAGAGACTTTCAACGATGACTTTAACAATTTGCGAAGTCACCGCTGAAAATCTAACACAATGGTTTTCACATACAATGTAATTTGACAATATCGGTCAGGAAAGCATTAGTCGCTTGTTGACTGGAGAAATTGGCTGTTAGCGGAATAAAATTTCCATACTTGGAAAGGTAGTCCACCACTACCAAAATGACACTTATGTATCCTCTTGTTTCAGGTAGGCCCTAATGAAATCCACGGCAATATCTTCTCATATTCATTTTAGAATGGGTAGAGGTTGAAGCAATCCTACAAGGTGTACCTGAGGAATGAAACTCTTCCATAATTTGTCTTATCAAATCAGGCATTTCATGTGGTATAATATTTGCTCTATTTACGAGTAAGAAATTAATCAGCAGTTTCATAAACCATTTACTTAAAAGACCAAATTCATTAACGTCCATACAAATTTAGATTTTTAAAATCATTTAAAACGATCTAAAACGACTATAAATCTAAGCAGCACAAAAACATTACCTGCTCTAATAGATATTATCGTCTTATTGAAAACAAAGATTTGTTGTCATTTCATTTTTTTAGTACAAAGGGGATTAGCTAATTATTTGTTGCCCTTGACTGAAATCTTTTATTAAGGTGGTGTTTGGATTAATGAATTTGGATTTACATTTTAAATTTTGAAACCTTACATTTCAAATCTCACATTTGAAATTCATATATTTAAGACTTGTTTGTTTCTGTTTTTGAAAACTGTTTTTTGTTTTTGAAAACACAAAAGTTTAAAATTTTGTTTGGATAAGTTCTTTTTATTTAACTGTTTTCAAAATTATTTTCGTTTTTTATTTTTAAAAACAAAATACTAGAAAAAACTTTAAGTTGTTTTCATTTCATTTTTCTTATTTTTAAAATACACTAAATTTGATTGTTAAAAATTATAGTTAACTAGACCAATTTATATTATTAATTACCATCATTAATTGTCTATAACTATCACTATCATTTCAATTTTTAATTATAAAATTGTTTTTAATTTATATAACCAAACGGATTTTTATTTTATTTTGTTTTGAAAATAATTTTGTAAATTGTATTATATAACAGTTTTTAGAAATAAAAAATGAGAATAAAAACCAAAGAGGCCCTTAAACTTCTTTGTTTGGGTAGTTAAAAAAGTTTCAAACGAATGAATGTTTGCCGGTAAGTTTTACTGCAAACATATAGGTTGTCACAAGTGTAAAATATTTCAGAGTTATCGTTCCCACGAGGATTTAGATAAATGAAGGTTAAAATTCACTATTAAACTTTAAGATAGATTGGGCAAAATCAAGAGTATGTTTGTATGAAAGTAATAAAAATTTGATTAAAATTGTTTTAAAGCAATTAAAACTTGTTTAAATTTTGACTTTTAGAGGTGAGAATCTAGGATTATCTCTCCCCTTTGTATTTCATAAAACTTAAATTAATTCCTCTCAAATAGATTTTTAATAAAAATAAGTGTTAGTCTAAGATTTCAATTCACTTGAAAAAGCTTTCTCAAGTCAAAATCAAGTATATTTAAAAACACTAAAATTTCACAATCTCTTAAAAATAGTTAGTAAAAATAAATTTTAAGCACCAATCTTAATATGACTATAAAAGGTTAATAAAATATCTCTATTTTACCAACAAAACTATCCATTTATCTTTGTAAATTTCAAGTCCAATACCATTTTATTCAAGTTTTACACCTCAATTAGTTCTCTCAAGCACAACTCAAGTGAACAAAACAATCTAAATAGTTATCAAGCACTTAAAAGTATTAAGCATAGGATAAAATAAATACATATACATCATTAACTGCCAAAAGAAAAGAATATTCAAGTCTTAATCTATACAAAGGTTCAAAATAATCCTAAAATAAAAGAACTAGCTACTCATGTTCAAAAAAGAGCTATGAATGTCATAATATACAACATCCATATAAAAAACAAAGAGAGAAAAGGGAAGAGAAGAAGAAAAATCGAAGAAAATCCACTTAAATCTCTTCAAATCTTCAATCATTGTCCAAATCTCCTCCAAAAACCCTAAACCTAATAGAGAAAGCCTCCAAGAACTTCTGAAAGTCACAGCTCTCTCCTCAAAGTGCAATGTAATGGCTTTGGAATTTAAATTAAATGATTTTCCATTTAATTGATATTTTATTAAATTGTTCAAGTTTTATGATGAATAGGAAGTAGTGGCTTAGTGAAAATTATGTTGGTCTTTACTTAAAGGATTGGGAGTTTGAATCTTACCTATGCCAAAGGTAATTTTATTTTTTTGATGATTAATGAAATTACCAAAATATCCTTGACTTTTGTGTTATTAAAGAAAATATCTTCTGGATCTCTTGTAATTTTCCCAAGCTTTAATATTTTAAAACTCCCTCTGTCGGTCAAAGAAAACAGAGCATAGCAAGAAAGAGTGTAGTGATCCTAAATTTTAAATTAATAATAAAAAAAAATTCTTCAAATTTATATTTTATTTAAATTTATTTTATGGCAAATGGAAAAGGATGAGTTAGTGAAATTTATGTTAATAACTTATTTGATGGTCTAGAGTTTAATTTTTTTTAGAAATATATTAATTTTATTTAGTTTAAAATTGTGAAAAAATTTCCGAAGTGCCCTGTTTTTTTTTGTGTTATTAGAAGAAATATTGGGCCCTTCTTATAATTTTTGCAATTTCCTAAATTTCAAATTTATATCCTCTCTCGGTCAGATACGCACCACCGCCTCTTATTTTTCTTTCTCCTCTTCGAAAATTCCAGAGCCGGAGAGATCGTCCCTTCTCTCCCTCTATTCCTTCGACATTCATCCTTGCCGTCGCTAGTGAGAGTGTGAGCCAGAGAGAAGGTCGAGAATCTTGGTCTTTTGTTCTTCTCCATCCATTTCCTTTCTGCATCCCTGAAGAGTACGAGTGAGGAGCTAGGCCGTTTAGTCCGTTGCTGATGTCGGTGTTCGCTATGAATCTGCTGCTGTCAAGGCTGAAGTCGCGAGTTCGTCCACTCCCCTGCTCCTCCAATGGTCTTCTTTCATGCAATGGTGATGCCTGAACTCCCTCCCCTGTTTTCTTATTGCTGAATCCTTCCTTCCTTCCTCTGTTCGAGATGCTATGATTTAGAGCATCAGGTTCTTACTCCTCTTTCGATTTCTACTTCTCTTCTCTTTGCTTTGTTGGACTGGTCTGATATAGGAAGTTTTTAATCTTCTCCCTTGCGCGATTCATGTGTTTGGTTGTTAAGTTATTGAGTTTACAATTCTCCTTACCTTGTATCGTTTTGTGCTGTGCTGATAAGGAAATGAAAAGTTAAATCAAGTTAAAATTTTAGTGTCAAGAGCATGATAATGAATCGACAGTAAGGGCTGGAATTTTATTTGAATTTAAATTGATTCTTGAAAAGGTATTGAATTCGAGAAACATGGTAAATTTAAATATCAACAATGGGAAATTGTTGGGGGGGGGGAAGGAAGGAATTTAAAGAGTAAAATGACTGTTTTATAGTTTAATTGTTGAATGCCTGCAAGGTGCTTGATAAAATGTGTAAGAGATGGATGTTGGTCTTTGATAGCAAATAGGTGTGATAAATTGATTGTTGTTAGTTAAATTATTATAGGAGACAAATATTTTCTATAATGAAGGATGAAACTAGAATTAGAGAATTTTTGAAAAGGATATTTCGATGATAGTTCAAGGACTAGGTCGGTTTGTTCTTATGCTAGCTTCTGGGATGTTAATAAAGTGTTCAATGATGGAAGTAATGAAATTGGACTTATGTGAAGTGGTACCATTGAAATGTGGCAAGCTATGAAAATTGTTTACACACGCACATTGTAGTGGTAAAAGTTGGGCTATTGTATTGAATCGTGAAGCATATAAACTATGAAGATGATGAGACTTTCTTTCATGTTTGGTGGATTACATTGTATATTGTAAACTTAGTTATATGTGTTATGGAAGAGTTAGAAGGACAAGTTAAAAATATAATCAAAGTGTTGAATAGAAAGGTGGACATATAAAGTATTGGATGGTTAGAGGAATTGAAACATAAATTATAATGATTTGAAAATTTAGTTGATTTTGGTGTTGTCAATGTTGAAAGAGAATTTATCAAACTTGGGTAAAGGATTTTAATTTTATTTTTTATATTGAATAGAGTGTTTAAAAAAACGGAAGACTTGATTGAAGTTTTAAAAAATGAATTTTAGTGCTTGGGAACACTTGAGGTAAGTGGATAGCGTTCCAACTGATATTTCATTAAAATCTCTTTTATTCAAATATTATATTTTTATGCAAATTCTTTTTATGACAACAATGTGACTATGAGATATTTTGTTGATTAAATTATATTATTTCATGAAATTATTTTACCAGAATTGATCATTTTAGTTAATCAGTAAATACAAGTTTAAATTCTAATTGTGGGATTTCAATTTAAAAATTATTGAATTGTTACGGAAAAACGATTCATCCGAGTTCGACATGGAAAAGAAAAATTTGATTGAATGGTGATCAATTTTTCGCATGTTTGAAATTGGTTTGAAAATGAATTTCAAGGGGACTTTATACAGAACACTGGTTGCTAACGGCAGTTTCGTTAGCCCTTGGCGCGCCATGGTACACCTAGCTAGCAGGGTGTTTATAGGAGATGCTAGCCCCGTGCGATAGCCAACGCACGTGGAATAAATGGATGGTTATTCGTGAGCATTGTACTCACATTTGTTTCGTGGCTTCGGCCGCGTTTGGTTACATACCCTCGTGGACTGTGTGTCCACGTTTGTTTCGTAGCTTCGGCTGCGTTTGATTACTTACCCTTGTGGATTGTGTATCCACGTTTGTTTTCGTGGCATAAGTTGCGTTTGGTTATTTACCTTCGTGGACTGTGTGTCCACGTTTGTTAATTGTTCTAATAAGTTTCTATAATTATGAATCCAATTATTTGATGATTTTACATTCCATTGATGTTATTCAGTAATTTGTTTATAACTATTTATTTTATTTATGTGCTTTCTTGGAAGCAAGTCCTATTAATATTTGCCGTGATAGTTCAATGATTTAAAATCTAATTTTAAAATTTTTACAGAGCTATTCTATTTTAAAGTTTATTACATTTTTCTGAAAGCTGTTGTCTCTTTGACTCACAATTATTTTAAACTTTCCTTTTTATTCAAGTTCTATTATTTATTGTTGGGACGTTATTCACTGGAAATTATTATTTTGGTCTCAGATACGTTAGCTGATGTTGTGCCTTCTGCTAATTCTTAAGGGGCGGTAATATTCAGATGAGATGAAAAGTTGAAACTAAACTTCTTTAAAGTAAATTTCTTATGTCAGGTGTTCCACATAAGCTATAGTTAGGGTCCTCATCCTTATGGTTCATACTTTGATATTTGCTGATCGGAAGAGAATTCCTTGCTGCTACTATTGTTTTGTAAAATATTAAATCTTTTGTTCGTATGGTTTGTATTGAGGATGGCTTAATTTATTATCAAAGGTCTTCATGGCTTATAAATTAGAGTTTTCTTGAGTAAAGACTTTTATGATATGAGTATTATCTCTATATTCTGTGCCAAACATGTTCTATTTTTGAGGTGTGACATGCAAGAATTTCACATATGTAACCCTAGCTTCAAGTCTGATTCAAAAACGCACAGTTTCAATAAAAGGCTTTTGGCTGCAACCACTTCTTCCTTGGCTGCGGCCAAAACCTCTTGGTCAGATCTCTGGGCTGCAGCCAAAACTTCTCGATCAGGATCTCTCGGCTGTAGCCAAAACGCATCAGTAGTATGTTGTCCCTAGCTTTCGGCTAAGGCCGAAAGTGCTTGGACTAAAGCTTAATTCTTCACTCTTCATCTTGACTTTTTCTTGATATAATAACTTCATAACTCCTTCTTTACTCCTCAAATAATGCTCCAACAACCTAAGAAGGCAAGAAAGTGTGAATCCAAGATTAATTATACCGAGATAAAGAATTATGCACAATTTACACCAAGATTTTGTCATTTAAACCCAAGTGTGAGATATGCACATTTTCCTATCATGTGTACCAAAAGTATGAACAATTTCATTAAAAAGCATATGAAATTGTCGGAAAATGTGCTGAGATGACATAAATTTCTATAGGTTATCAATGAATGAAATGAATTGAGATTTGAAATGAAAATAAAAAATTATCTAGAAATGACATTTTTAATCCACAAGAAATAAGAAAATATATGGAAGTTATAAAGATATAAACAGTAAAAATGTGAAAAGAAGAATATGTTTGAAATTATTAAAATTTTAAATGATTAGAATGTAAAAAGAATTGAAATTATAAAAAAATTAGAATTTGAAATAGATTTGGATTTAAATCAAATTCAAATTCATAATTTTTTGTGTATCTAAATGAAAAATTTGTTTCAAATTCAAATCCTTATTAATCAAAACACAACCATAAGAGAATTCTTTTGCATCCCACAGGAGGAATATATCCAGAAACTCAACTTTAATATCTAGTTGCAATCAAAACAAAAACCAAAAAAAAAAAAAAAAACCTTCAGCATTTATAGTCGATGAATCAAGCAAGCTAGTAACTCTACAATTAGCTTTTTTAAACGCATCGTTAAAGGCAACAATGTAGTTCCGCATAAGAAGTTACAAATTTCTCTAATCAAGTTATTTAGCAGATGGTTTCCGGATAGATCACTGTAGATGAGTAGAAAGGCTTCCATAGAGTCACTAATCACAGCCATCTTATGGTACACTTGATTCCAATTGACATTGGGCGCCTGTTTCGATTTGAATTGAAGATCAATTATTGTACGGAAAAACCATGTTTTGTCAAAAATTACCCAAATACCTATATTATATGTTAAAATCAATTATGAATCCAAAACTATATTTTCTTAAAGAAGTCCAAACGCCCATATAAATGCTAAAATCAATTATAAATTCAAAATCATGATTTTTTTTAAAAAAAATGTCCAAATACCTCTTATGTCAAAATTAATTATGAACTAAAAAATATGATTTGTAAAATAATTAATATAATTTTTGAATAACTTTTTAGAAATGTATAATTGAAAAATTAAATTAAAAAGTAGATAATAGTAGCTTATGAGATAACTGTGGTTTTGAGTTTATAATTAATTTTGACATGTTTGGGGATGTTTGGATGTTTTTAAGAAAAACATAATTTTGGATTCATAATTAATTTTGGCATGTATAATGGATGTCTGGATTTTTATTTTTTGAAAACATGGTTTTGGATTCATAATTAATTTTAATATGTAGCATAATTGTTTGAATATATTTTTACAAAACCATGATTTTACCTTATTTTCATTAATTTTGCTTTTCAATTCTAATTAAAATTAATCTTATTAATTAATTTTATAAATTAATTATATGCCACATAACACAATTAATTATATTCCAAATCAATCATATTAATTAATTTTTTTATAATTAATTATATCCAGTTGAAATCCAAACACACCCTAAAACCTTCATAAATATAATATTAGTTGTATAGGCGAGACATAACCAAGATTTTTAGCCAAGGTTATCATTTGGAAGAATGAAAGTTAAGTAGTAAATATTGATTCAAATAATAGTAAATTTACAATTTGTAATAATAAATAAGACATTTAATTTTTTTTATAAATATAAGAAGTAAGCTCCATCAATAATAAAAAAATATCTCTTTTGAAATACTGAGAATAATGTGTAAATCTCTCTTAATGAAATTGTTATATATATATATATATATATATAAAGGTTAGGATTTAAACCTCCAATCCCTTATTTAAGTGAATGTCATTTCATTTCAACTCGTGACTACTTCTGAAATTCTTTAGTTACAAGTTTTCAATCGCATGGCTATTTCCCTTGCTCCTTGCCTACACTAGAACCATTTCAATGCGTTAAGTAAAGAAAAAAATTTGAGAAAAATCGATTTTGATAAGTTAGAATATTGTTAAGAAAATTAATTCCAATTAACATTTTTAATTATATAATGACAAGTCTTATTTCACTAGATAAGGTCAATTACATAAATTTTACGATGTCATTGTGTTCTACCATTTACTAAATTTTTAGGAATGTTGTTAAATAAGAGGTCAACAATATCCACAAGTGTTCCTTTTAGCTTTCCTCTACCTCTCTTAAAAAAACTCAAAATTATCTATTTTACTCTCCTTACCAATGCCTTTCGCTGTCTTCTTTGTCTTGTGTTGCTATGATTAGACCTTATGAAGGAGAATTTCCTCCCCTTGAGAGGAAAAAAGATGACAGGACAAAAGTTACTGTCAGACCCACTTTTTCCATCCTTCTCGAATGATCTTCTATCATTTTTTCCTTAATAGATGTTACACCCACTCGTATATATGCTCATTTCATATTTTTATCTTTACATGTATGCCAATACATTCATTTCAACATTGTCATATATGCTATTCCAACTTTATGCTCTTGTTGTCTTGTTAAAGCCTAGCATTCACAACTAAATAATATAGCTAATCTTATAACAGTTCTATAAAACTTTTCTTAAGTTTATTAGATATCTTTCAATCTCAAATAACTCATTTAGCTTTTTTTTTCTAATTAAACCACTTAACTTGTATCATATGCACAACATCCCTATCAATTTCTCTATTATATTAAATAATAGCTCTTGAATATCTAAATTTTTTTACTTGAGATATAATAAGATCTTTTAATTTCACTTCCAAATTAATATTGACTAGCCTCTTATCAAAATTACAATACAAATATTATGTCTTATCCTACTCAGGTGAAAACTTTTTGACTATAACGTCCTCCTCCATAATTCAAGTTTATAATTAATCTGTTCTAGAGTCTTTATAATAAGAACTATATCACCTGCAAAAAACATGCATATGGGAATTTCCTTTTGAATATGCTCAATTGAAACATATAAGATTATGTCAACTAAATAAGGATTTAAAGATGATCCTTGATGTAGTCCAATTCTTAGCTTATAGAAAGTCCTTTATTTCATCGCCAGACATTTCTTATATTAGCTATTACCCCCTCATACATATCTTGTATAGCTCTAATATAGGAAACCTATAATTCTTTCTTTTCCAAGGCTTTCTAAGGTACCTCTCTCAGTACACGGTCATAAGTTTTTTACAAATCAATAAAAATCATGTGTAAATTTTCACATTTACATTGATAATTTTTCATTAATCGCCTTAGTAGATAAAACATTTATATAGTCACCCTACTTGACATGAAGCCAAATTGATTTTTAAAAATACCAGTCTTCAATCTCAACATATGTTCAATAACTTTTTTCCACAATTTTATTATATGACTCATAAGTTTAATCTCCCTGTAGTTTGCACAATTTTAAATATCTTCCTTATTTTTGTAAATAGGACCTAAAGTGCTTCTCCTCCATTTATCATTTTTTTAGACTATAAGATCTTATTAAATAACTTAATTAGCCACCATACCCCCTCTTCACCTAAATATTTTCACACTTCAATAAGAATACAATCAAGTCCATTAGCTCTACTATTTGCCATTTTCTTAAAAGCTTCTTTTACCTCACTATCACGTATCTTTAAATAGAATAACAAATTTTGTTCTCCTTCACAAGTTACTAAATCATCTAAATTACTAAATGAACCCCTCTATCATTGAAAATTTTGAAAAATAAGTATCTCATCTGTCTTTAATATCATCATCTCCATTTGTAATTAAAACTATTCCCTCTTTATCCTTTATGCATTTTTCCTGTTCTAAATCTCTTGATTTTCTTTCCTTACTCTTAGCAATCTTATAAATTTTTTTTGTTCTCCATCCTTTGTCACAAAATTATTGTAAAACTCTTCAAATACTTTAAAACGAATTTCACTCACAGCTTTCTTAATTTTTTTCTTAATCATATGATACCTTTTCCAATTTTCATCATTATTGGACAAATAAATGGCTTTAAAACATTCTCTCATGTTTGATTTTTTCCTGTACATTATCATTTCACCACCAAAACTTTTTATCCCTAGAATCAAAACCTTTTGATTTTTACAAAACTTCTTTAGCAACCTTCCTTATTTTCTTAGTCATATCTTCCCACAAGATACTAACACTTTGCTAAGACTCCCAAATTTCTTCAATCAAAAGATTTCGCTTGAAAATTTCTCGCTTCTCATCTGTTAATTATCACCACTTAATCTTCAGAATTACTGCTTGAACTTGATTTTGAACAGTTTAGATGAAAGCACTAGCAACTATAAAGCATGTATCTCCTAATCTCAATTCCAACCTTAGAAACCAGGGGTGTTCAATTTGTACGTATCTCAATTAGCCCGATTCCATCCGGGTCATACCAAGACTAATCCAATCTTGATCAAAAAATAATCGGGACAGAATTTTAAAAGACGAGACATGAAAGAGATCCTGGGATGAGACATGACATGGGATTGCCCTCGAGACTTCTCTTCTCATCCTAAATATTATATATATATATATATATATATATATGTATGTATATATTACTTTTTA